GGGAATCATAGGTCCTAGGGGGAACCTATTGATGTTATTTTTCCAAATGATCATATTGTCAAATTGCCTCCTGAACAGCTGTGTTTACGTCTTTAGAGTTTCACTTGTGCAGAGAAGCTCGTATTACAGAGGAGAGTGGTTAATGTAAAAACACAGTTCTGTTCAAAGTGCTTATCTGTAGATGAAACATCTGTATCAATACCCACCCCAAGCTCAAGAAAGGTCTTGCAGAGGACCCTGATAGAATGTGAGAACCAGAGGACGGGGAACTGTGCTAAGAGATGCTGTCCTTTTGGACATGATGTGGCCGTGCCACAAATGAACCCACAGCAGCAATGGTTACCTACACAAAACCTGCGAAGGTCAAGCCAAGCAGTATGGAGTGGGGAGGGGCTCCACAAGCCTCACCAGCAGCCAAGGAACTATTGGTGGTTGATGGCTGCTTGGGGAAGAAGAGTCACTTTTCTTCAGGAGTGTGGTAGATTCTCTGTGCCCCCGTGGGTGACTCCATGCCCATATGCATATGGCAGCACTAACTGAACTCAGTAGATTTTGTGTGTACACATATATTACATAATACATACGTGTGTATATATATATATACATGCATAAAAGGAGGGCATAAAGTTGAGAGAGATGTGGTGGGAGACTCTAGGTGGGTTTGGGGGATTAATAAGGGGTGGGTATGATCAAGATACATTGTATACATGTATGAAAATTTCAAAGAATAAATAAAATTAAAATGAAAAAGAAATATTATTTCTAACTTCTCAGATCTTATGTCTAGTTAACAGACAGACATGCCAACCAGATATATGGTGAATACGAATCACGTGTAGAGCATGTATCTCTTTATCGCTAAATGAAGGGTTGCCATTCTTCAACTCTTCATTTTTTTGTATTTAACCTATTCTGGACTCTTCTTTTTTGCTTTTTTAGACAGGGTCTCACTATGCATGCCTGGATGGCCTTGAACTCACTATATAGATCAGGCTGGCCTGGAATTCATAGATATATGAATGCCTCTGTCTCCTGAGTGCTAGTATTAGAGGCCAGTCATGATGTAGGATGCGAGAAAAGGGGTCCAGACCCTTTTCCAGTAAGAGAAGACCATGTGGAAATACTCAGATTAGCAGTTATGGGCTAATAATTAAGTCAGAGCTAGCTTATAAGAAACCAAGCAAATGACCAACAGCTTCATAATTAATATAGCCTCCTCTGTGTTCATTTGGGACGGATGCAGCTCTGGGACCAGGCTGGCGGGAAGAATGCACGTTACACCCAGTGTTAGTCTCTGGGTCTTTTATTTATTCATGTTATAAGCTCACACATAAAATTGGTGATAAGTACACACATAGAGTGTGTGTGCACGTGCATTGATGAGTCAGGGAATGGATTTGTATCCTTTTAAAAGTGTGTTTGGAGGCAGATCCAGTGAATGTTTTATACTTGTTTGCAAAGCTGGCATAAATATTTCAGGATACAATTGAGCTTTTCTCATTAGCATCCATTCTCCTGCCTCTGTGAGTGGAAGTTCCTAGCTGAGGATAAAGAGTGCCATTAAATCATTGTGCAGCTCCTAATTCCATGGCAACTGTGACAGACGGACTCTTTCTTGCCATAATAGGTTTGGGTGAGTCTCATTTTAGTCAAGACAATGACAAATTTTGTTATTAAAATGTCTTTTAACCTAATTCATCTCTTTTCTTAAAAACCTGCTCTCAGTTAAAAAATACTGTGCCAGACAAACTTCAAACCTACCTTTTAAAATCCAGTGCCACAGTCTGAATTACTATTCATGAGAGAGTTGATGCTATTTGTTAAACATTACCAAATATCCCAAGTTATCCCCTTTTCTGCATGTTGAGATAACAGTGAACAAACCCAAGCTTGTTTGGTACTTCCCTTAGAATTTCATCATAGGATCAAGCTATTATATGACATCAAATTTCCCCTTAGGTCACTTTTAATGTTCTACCCATAGATGGCAGCAAATGACCACTCTGCTGAGTCACCAGCCTTCTGGCCAATCACCTGCAGGTCACACATCCAAATTAATTTGGAAACTTTTTTTTTTCTTTAGGGTCAAAACCTGGCATCTGGCAGTCCCACTAAGCTGGGCTCAGCCGTAGTCCTTGTTGTACCAGTTAAAGAAACAAGGAATAGTGAAAGGCAAAGAAAAAAATTAGTCATCGAGACCACACTTAGGAGATAAATAAAGGGATCCAGTGACCCTTCCAGATAGTTTGGGGACATTGATGTGAGGTTTAGGGTTAGATAGAAGCCAAGAAGCTTGTACAACTCAGAATTCCTGGTCAAGATAAGGTCCTGCCCAACCCTGCCCCATCACTGAGCCTGTCCTGTCACTGCCCCATAACTGTGTCTCCTCCATCACTGTGTCTGCTCAATCTCTGACCCATCACCGTGTCTGCTCCATCACTGTGTCTGCTCCATCACTGTGTCTCCATCACTGTGTGTCCATCACTGTGTCTGCTCCATCACTGTGTCTCCATCACTGTCTGCTCCATCACTGTGTCTGCTCCATCACTGTGTCTCCATCACTGTGTGTCCATCACTGTGTCTGCTCCATCACTGTGTCTCCATCACTGTCTGCTCCATCACTGTGTCTCCATCACTGTCTGCTCCATCACTGTGTCTGCTCCATCACTGTGTCTCCATCACTGTGTCTCCATCACTGTCTGCTCCATCACTGTGTCTGCTCCATCACTGTGTCTCCATCACTGTGTCTCCATCACTGTCTGCTCCATCACTGTGTCTCTATCACTGTGTCTCCATCACTGTGTCTCCATCACTGTGTCTCCATCACTGTGTCTCCATCACTGTGTCTCCATCACTGTGTCTTCTCCATCACTATGTCTGCTCCATCACTGTGTCTGCTCCATCACTGTGTCTACTCCATCATCGTGCCTGCCCCATCACTGATCCAGAACTGTTGTAAGGGTTCTGGGAATTGAACCGAGATCTTTTAGAAGATACATTTCTCCAGCCTGAGATTTTAGTTCTTAAGGATCCCTTGATCTGAATGTCTGATAGCACAGGCATTTCTCTTCTGTCTTACCAGGGTGGTTACAGTAAGACTTCAACCTGGCTTAGGGCACTATGTTTGTGACAAAAGAAGTAGAGAATCCATGTCCACAAAGACTTTATAGTGGGAGGTTAAATAAACAAAAAGGCTGTTATTTAGGTAGCAGAATCAGTGAAAACCCAAATTACGATAATTGAGTTCTATGATGGTTCATTATGAGAGTCAGCTTGGTTGACTGAGGGCAATTCTCTCTCTCTCTCTCTCTCTCTCTCTCTCTCTCTGTGTGTGTGTGTGTGTGTGTGTGTGTGTGTGTGTGTGTTTGCAAGAGCATTCTCTAAGCAGGGGAGTCCTTCCTTGAGCCTGGGAAGTGCCACCCCATACTCTGGGGTCCAGGTGGAAGAAGAAAACTGGTCAGCACATGTGTCCTGTCTCTTGTCCCCCACAATGAGAATGGCTTTGCTCTGCCACAGCTTCCCTATCAGGATGGACTGAACCTTCTGAAGCACTAAGCCAGAATAAACAGCTCCGCTCCTTAAACTGCTTGTTCTGGTATTTGCCAAAGGGATGGAAAACCGATTAAGATAGTACCTCTGGGAGACACTGGAATAAGTGTGCTTCTGGCTTTCACAGAAATGGGAGATACCTAGATAGGCAAGGAATGGAAACAGAGGACCGTTTGAATTGAAGATGTAATGTCTTACTCTTGCAGCCTGCCCTGATTGGCATAGCATTAACAATGTGGCTTCTGTGCTCACATTGCCAAGACCAAGTGATAGTGTACTGGGTCCTCTGGCGCTTGTGGCAGCCGAGGTGCTGAACTCCTTCCTCTCTAAGTGTTTCTTGTGGCCTAAGGTCTCTAAAGCATCAGCAGTAGATGTTACATAAGAACCTGCAGCTTACCTGTTGTGATACACACAATGGTGCTTAAATATTTTGGCATTAGAGAAATCCCACCTATTGCGATGGCTAGCACTTGTTGTCAGAAAACAGAAAATGCTGGTAAGGTAGGATACTGAGACCCTCATATACTGCTAGTGGGAATGAAAACTGGTGTTGTCACTTGGTGGCCCAGAGTCATCACAGGATTCTGAAATTCCACTCCTAGATTTATACCCAAGGAAAATGAAGATATACAGCCACACACAAGTCTGTACACAGATGGTTATGGGAGCACTGTTTGTAACAGCCCAAATGTGGAAACAGGGTGAGCATTGATTAGTTCAGCAATATAGTCTGGGGATGTGACTCGGTGAGTAAGAGCATTTACTTTGCAAACAGGAAGACCTTAGTTTAAATTCCCAGAACCATGTAAAAGCTTGGTGTGGCTTCAAATGCACCCCTAACCCCAGCATTGGTTGGAGTGGATACAGGAGAATCTCTGGGGCTTGCTGGCTGCCAGCTGAGCTCCAGAGTCAGTGAGAGACCCTGCCTCAGGGGAACAGGGCACAGAGTAATAGAGCAGGATGCCTGTGTGAGTGTGGGTGTGTGCACTTGCGCACAGGAATGAGCACATACTACTATATACACAAAGTAAAATAAAAAAGAATATTATCCATCAATAAAAGTAGAAACTCGTGTTACAATATAGATGATGTTTGGAAACACATTGGGGAAACATATATTACAATAATATGATTGTGCTTATATAAAATATCTAGAGTGGGCAAATCTGTAGAGAAAGAAAGTAGATTATTGGTTGCCCTGAGCTAGGATGGGAAGGAGAGACAGGAAGATGTTAGCTTAAGGATATGGAGTCTCATCTCGATGTAGTAAAAGTCATGTTCTCAAATGCATTGTGATAATGGTTTCCTAGCTCTACAAATACTGTAAACCATTGAATAATACTGTGGATGAATCCAACAGTATGTAAGTTACAGCTTCAAAGTTTTGTTGTTTCACAAAGAATCCATACTCTGTTGTGGCTATTTCCACCATGTAGACTTTGTTTTGCCAGGTACTGCTCTAAACACATATGCCAGAGCATATGTTGACTCTTCCCATCTTCATAATGCTCTCACCAGGTAAGCATTTTAATCTTTTCTCTTTTATAGATGGAGGAGCCAAAACATGGGGGAACAATGAGGGGTTTTACTCAAGGTTACATAGCTTGGGAAAGGCTTCATTAGACTCTCTTGAGTAGAACTGGGAAGATTCCAGAATCTGGGCTGCTTGTTAATCACAGGCTGTACTGCCTGGGAGAGAGGAGAAGGTTATGTGTGGTCAGCTAAGCCCTCCCTGATTTTGTGTCTGGGAAAATAAGGTACACTTGGGGTAGGACTAACTTGGAGTCAAGACTACCACCCTGGTGTAGTTCTCTCTCAATCATATCATGCTGCCTGGATGCTAAAGGCTTACCTGGGAACACTCAGAGCCATCCACACACATACAGGAGTTTTGCTTTGTTTTTGAGACAGGGTTCTCTGTGACTTGGGAGGCTGTCCTGGACCTAGCTCTTGTAGACCAGGCTGGTCTTGAACTCACAGAGATCCCCCTGCCTTTGCTGTGCCCCCTCCCCCAGTGCTGGGATTAAAGGCATGTGCCACTATCACCCAGCGAAGGAGTTTTTTTCTTGTAATTTATTATTATTATTATTTTAATCTGGGGGATGAGTTAGGCCAAAATGTATAGCTGGTGGTGGGTGAGTATGTATTCAAAACTGGGAAATCAAGGAGCAGACTACAATATTGGTTGGAGATTTGGGAATTTATAGAGGAGACATGAAGTGATATGTAAGCATATTCATGAATTATTGCCTGTTTCATTCTTCATTTTGTATTAGCAGAAATGTCAAGGGAGCTAAATGGGCAGGAAAATCTTCTCTTAAGATAGAGTGGTTATTTTGTTAGGCGACACTGCAGGGTCTGCAGATATGGCTCAGTAGTTACTTGCAGGTATGAGGAACTGAGCTCAGGTCTCCAGTAGCTGTGTAAACATTTAGGTGCTGTGATGCTTACCTGTAATCCCAGCACAGGGGAGACAGAGACAGGAGGATCCCTGGGGCTTACTGGCCAGCCAGTGTAACCCATCAGTGAGCGCCAGGTCCAGTGAAAAATCCTGCCTCAAAAAAAAAAAAAAAAAGAAAGAAAAAAGAAAAAGAAAAGGAAAACAGAAAGAAAGAAGAGAAAAAAGAAAAAGAGAGAAAGCTGGGGAAGCAATTGAGGAAGACCCTTGTGGGTCATGAGAAGATGGCAGCAATATGTTTAAAACATTCAGGCAATGTGTGACTACAAGACATTGGGGACAAATAAATCCACGAAGCATCAAATACAAAATTTGCTATGAGGAAGAGCAATAGCAGCGGGGTAGGAGGCAAGGGGCCTGTGAGCGGAGGTAAACGGTGAGTAGTAGGTATAGTTCAGGCTGCCGGAAGCAGATGGTGGATAGCCAGTCTGAATGGGAGCTCACAGTGATTGATAGACTGAAAGGAATTCTCCAGATTCCTTAATTGTACATAAACTTCTATTTGATTTAGCAACTTCTATGAAGAGAATCAATAGTGGTAGCCTTCCAGCTTAAATTAGGTGAGATCAATGTTTATAGCGGCTGTGTATTGAAATGTCCAGGACCATGACACAAGTTACTGTTTAAACCAGGTGGAGAATGTCTGCATGTCTACCCCTCAGGTTCTTCCTGTCCTCAGCAGACCTTCCCATAATAATGAGGACGCTAAGAGCAGGTTGTTATTCTGAGATTAGAGTTGGGCTAGTTTACACAGGTAATCCTTTATTCGCGCTTCCACTGCGTGATCTTAAAGAACCGGTGTGAACTAGATGGAATGGTATATAGCACTCAGCCAGTCCAAAAGGCTTTCTGCCAAGAGTCCTTTCCGCTTCTTATTCAAGGAGCTCCATTCCTTCTAGAAAAACACATTTTTTAAATCTTTTTTTTATTTAGGTTAGAAGCAATCTTGTTTCACATGTCAATCCCAGCTCCCTCTCCCTCACCTCCTCCCCCACCCTCCCCACCAAGTCCCCCAAGTCCCTCACTCAATCTCTACTCTGATCCCCAAGGAGGGTGAGGCCCTCCATGGTGGATCTCCAGTAACTGTCATTTCATCCAGGGCAGGGCCTAGACCTTCCTCCAAGAGTCCTGGCTGAGAGAGCATCCCATATTGAGGCATGGGCACTCAAAGTCTATTTGTATGCAGGGATAAATACTACCCAAGGCCCCATAGATTACCTAGGCCTCCTCACTGACACCCACATTCAGGGGGTCTGGGTCAGTCCCATGCTTTCCACACAGCCATCAATCTGGAGTCCAAGAGTTCCCCCTCCTTGTACAGGTCAACTGTTTCTGTGGGACCAGCCCACTCTTAACTCCTTTGTCCATCAGTTCTCTCTTCTGACACTGGATTCCAGGAGTTCAGTTCAGTGTTTGTCTGTGGGTATCTGCCACTGCTTCCATCATTCACTGGATGAAGGTTCTGTTTCCTAGACTCTCTGGCAGTGGGATTGTAGGCTGGCACTCCCCTGATTCATGTCTAAAATCTAAATGAGTGAGTACATACCATGTTTCTCTTTTTGTGACTGGGTTACCTCACTCAGTATGGTTTCTTCTAGTGCCTTCCATTTGCCTGCAAATTTCAAGAATCCATTGTTTTTTTCTCCTGAATAGTATTCCATTGTGTAAGTGTACCACATTTTCTCTACCCACTCTTCAGGTGAGGGACATCTAGGTTGCTTCCAGTTTCTGGCTACTACAAATAATGCTTCTATGAACGTAGTGGAACAGACATCCTTGTATGAATGTGCATCTTTTGGGTATATGCCTAAGAGTATGCTGGGTTTTGTGGTAGACTGATCCCATTTTCCTGAGGAATATCCACACATTTCCAAAGTGGCTGTACAAGTCGGCACTCCCATCAGCAGTGTAGGAGTGTTCCCCTTTCTCTACATTCTCTCTAGCATAAACTGTCATTGGAGTTTTTGATTTTAGCCATTCTGACAGGAGTGAGATGGTATCTCAGAGTTGTTTTGATTTGCATAGAAAAAACACATTTCATCAAACCTCACTGTGCTGTTTGCATTCAGACACAGGAAGACACAGGGATCTTCTGTTTCTGACTCGATGTGTTTAGAAGGGGGCTACTGCCATGGCACTGAGAGCACAGAGTCAAGGCCTCAGTCTTTGAGGGTGCTTTGAGTTGCTGGGGTTCCTGACTCTGGACCTTTTGCTTTGTAAAATAAACATCACTGGGGCTGCATTTGGTCTGTTCCTGCCTTCCTTGTGGTTACCACCAAACTACCACACATGGGCATTTTAATAACATTTACTTCCTCAAACGTGAAAATGGCCAATATCATTTATCAGGAGTGTGAGTTTTGAGTGTGTTCCCAGGTCCGCTGAGGCTGGGCTGGCTTTTTGTTCCTTGCCATTCCAATCTGCATTTACTCAGGTTGGAGTAAGAGCTGATGAAATAAAAGTGTCTCCAGTGCTGGGGAGTTCAGGGATGTGCAGCAAGGCAAATGTCCAAGAAAGGAAAAAAAACAAAACAAAACAAAACAAAAACCCCAAACCAACTCTCCAACAAAAGAAGTGCTCATGAGTAATTAGAGGCCTGGGAAAGCAAGCTCAAATTACAACTGGGAAGCCTGGTTTTGTGCTGGGAAGGGCTGCCTTCTGAGCAACTGGGCGAGTAAATTTCCAGGCCACATGTGACAAATCGGCGCCTCTTTGATTGGTCTTCACCCAGCACCCCACACAACCAGATACATCTCCCCTCAGTCTAGAAAGACAAAAGAAGCCTTTGACGTGTGTGCGCTTTCATTTGACAACTAAATATAAGGTCCATACCCGGGGCTGGGTGCGAGTCTGGGAAAAGACATTAAACTCCGTGTACCAGAAGTATTCGTTACTGACACCCATATGGATTGCTCTGGCATAGATTGTAGTGTTGGGACCCTTACAAGAAAGACACAAAAGTATGTGTTATGGGAGACACCAGACAAGAGACTTTCTGTCTTACCCAAAGGATGAGTTTGGGTCTTGAAGTAATCTTTCAGGAGTGGGTAGTGTCTGAACTTGGAAAGCTGGGGATAAAGGACCCTTCAAGCAGTCATTTCACCTTGGGAGAATCCTGTGCACAAGTTTTAAAGAGCAGGAGCTGGGTTAGACTGCGGCTCACTCGCAATGGACTCACTAAGGGACCAGGAGCAGGGCTGGAGTGTCTAAAACTGGGCTTTAGGAAGACCGAGCCTGCAGCTCCGCACAGACGAACAAATGGTGTGACTAGTTAAGAGGGTATTGAGACATCCATCTCATATTAGATACAACCCTTGTGAAGTGCGTTAGTCAGCTTCCTACTGCTAACACAAGCACTTAAGATAAATCAGTTTACAGGTGAAACCATTCGCCTCAGGGCTGGGGTGTGGAAAAAAAAAGATGAAGAAGGGAGGCTGGGGTTTCCCCCATCAGGCAAGCTGTCAATCATCAGTAGACCTTTATTAACCCTGCCTCTTAAAGAACCCATACCTTGAAATTATACCAAGCTGCTGGCCAAACTTTAACACATGGATGGGCCTTTGGGGGAATATTCCATATCCAAATTATAGCACTGGGGATAGAGACGAGAACATAGGTAAAAGAACAGACCTGAAACCTAAATGTAAGGGATAGAGTTGGTAGAAAGTAGCAAATGGCAGAAATACGGAGAGAAACGAAGCTCTCTTCATTCTCTCATCTGCAAGGACTAAAGGAACTGTTGCCTTGACTGATTTCCATGTTAAGTGAGTTGCTTGAAGTCTCTTGTGACTCCAAGTTCCCCATGGGCTGACACAGCAGGCAGCTTTGGAGAATTCCTAGCAGACAACAGCGTGAGTCTTGGCAATGTTGGATATTATCCACGGGAACCTGGACCAGAACCAACAGCCTTTTAACTTCCAAGATGCTTCATTATTAATAACCTGCAGCTTTGACATTGCTAGGCTCTGTCCAGCATAGCTTCATAAAGCCTGTCAAAGAGCATGTACGAAAGGGCGTGTGAGTGGGTGTGGCACCTCAGGGACCAAGTCCCTGATCCTCCCCTGCAAGGATGAGGCACCTCAGAGGCCAGGAAGGGTGTGACAAAGTTAATATTGAGAGCTTCTGGGGGAAGTTTGAATCAGAAGGAAGAAGAGTTGGAATCCTGAAGGTCTTGACCAAGAGAAAACTTTTTCTAGGGCTAAATTTTGCTCTCCTGACTGCTAATCTTGCTAAAGAAAGTGTTTTTTGTTTCCTCATGGAGGTCTAGACAGTCTGGCTTCTGCTAGTGTCTCAGTGTAGTTTCCTGCCACTGTAAACACCCCGTGTCCTGGCCCCGTGGAATTTAATCTGCAGACTTTGCCTCTTAGCGCTTTGCAGCTGTCACTCCCTCTATCTGGAGTGAGTGAGCCCCTGCCTTTATTCCCTCAGGACCAGAGTGAATATTCCCTCCTGGATGCTTCTCCGGGGCCCAAGCATGATCTGGTGACTACCACGGAGTACCGTGCATCTAGGGTATCACTGGCTGTTGCTGCCTTGACCTGCTCTTCTGTAGACCACCTTCCCCAGGACTTGGGCTAGACCTTACTCATGTCTGAATTTCCGGTCTATCACAAGGTTGCATATGGAGGGGAGATGGCATTTATTTTGTGAAGGAGTAGTAGCATGTTTTGGTAATCTGGTGCTCATAAGGTGGCAGGCTAGCCGAGGGTGGCTCTTCCTTTTCAGGATCTGTTCCCACACTGACAAACCCATGTCTCTCAGTAGAGGCGGACACAGTTGTCCGTTCTTTGACCTAATCTGCTGGCTTAGGTTCCCATATGTCTTCTAGTGTTCCCTTTCATTGCCAAGGAAATGAAACCACTCAAAGGAGGTGGAAATGAATGAAAACTGTTGTCTGTGAGCTAAAATTGGGGAAGCCTTTTGCTTATTTCTTCCCCAGGTGGCTACCGGGGGCCCATTAGGTGCTGTTTCAGAGTTGAAGGGGTGAATATGAGGAAGGCTGGGTGAGTCCTTGTGGTCCAGGAGCTCATACTCAGAGGGGCTGGGGACAAGGACAATATATAGGTGAGCAAGTGATAATTGAAAGATATTGAGTGTTTTGGAAAAAATAGAAGGGTTATATGATCAGGGGAAATTGGGTGCTATTCTCTGTTTGAGAAAGTAACGTTACAACATTAGGGAAAGAACTGAGAGGCACAGGGAATCCAGTCTTGTGAGTCACGACAGACAAAAATCATACCAGGTTAAGGACAGACAGTGGGAGACTGAGCAAGGGTTGCACTCCATGGGCTCTGAGGACAGAAGGCAAGATTACGAGGTCCCTGTAGGACTCACACAGGCTGGAGAGCTCTTGAGTTAGTTTTTGTGGCTGCTTATCTTCCCTGCTAGGGGTCAGCATAGCAGGGAGTCAGCTGTGTGCCAGGACACTTCCTCTTATCTCCCTTCACTATCTGAGTTAAACTTCTTCTCACAGGAATGGTGGATGGTGCGATCAGCTCTCTTCTCAATTAACACAGTATCCCCGTGACAGGCCAGAGCCTGGATGGGCTCTTGGTACTTTGCCCTCTCCTGTGTCCTGGAAGAAGCCACTCACCAAGAGCCTTCTGCTCCCTGTAGAGTGTTTCTTTAATAGTCGCATCTCTCTTCATCTCCACTACCTGTCCCACCGCCCCCATAACCCACCCCCACTCCTCCCTTGATCTAAGGGATTAGTTTCATGCATTTTCCAATTTTAACCAGCCACTATGAACTCACTCTGCATAAACAGGTCTTCTAAAACTCACCAGCTTTGGGATGGTCTCTGTTCTGGTGTGAGCGTGTCCCTCAGTGTCCTGTATTTCTGAATAAACAGTGTTCAGACATGGGACCTATTGGAAGTGGTTAGGCCACAACTGCTCTACTCTCAGGAATGGATTAATGTTGCTGTTGTAGGAAGTGGGCTCCCAGTAGAGAGGCGAGTTTAGCCGTGTTTTGTTTTGCCTTTTACCATGGGAAGATGGATAAAAATAAAACAGAAGCAAAAACCTCACAAGGTATGGGTCCCTTAACCTTGGACTCCAGAAGCACAAGAGAATAAATCTGTTCTTGGTAAACTACCTAGTCTTAGACATTCTGTTATAGTAGAACCAAAGAAACTAAGATACGGCAGAGGTATGTTTACACCTTCGACTTAGAAATACAAAGTGAGGTTTTGCTGATAACATTGTTTGGTTTCATGAGAAGAACACCCTCCTAACTCACCATCTGTTGACTTTTTGTGAAGGTTGATCTGGGTGGCTAACTTGGCTGGATTTAGAACCACATAGGAGACAAACCTTTGGACGTACCTGTGAGGATGTTATAGAGAATATCAACTAAAGAGAGGAGATCACTCTGGATGCGGGCAACTTTGTTCCACAGGTACAGGTAAAGGGCTGAACGAGACAGAGAAAGCAAACAGAACTCCATTTTTCCTCTCTTTTGGCTCCCTGGCTGTGCACCGTGGCTGGACGTGAGCAGCTGCTTCACACTCCTGCTCCATGCCTTCCCTACCAATATAGATGGCACCTTCAAATTGTCAGTCAAAATAAACCCTTCTTTACACTGTTTTTGTCCGGTATTTTGTCACAGTTACAGAAAAGTTACGTACCTGTGTTGGGTTGGGCAGTGCTTTGTCTGACAGTACTAGCCCCGGCTAGTTTGTTGCAGATCTGACATGTTGGGCTGCAGTTAACAGGTGTATGTCTGGGCACTTCTTGTGACCTGTGCCCCGCCTAGCAAAGCAAGGCACACTCACACCTGGATGGTGAGGAGTCAGCAGGAAACACTGCCATGTGTCTTTACCCCTGACACCTTGTATGCTTCATGCATGAAGAACCTGTTTGGTCACAACACCCTCGTCTTGTTTTTGATGGTCTAGAATGTTCAGATGGTGTATACTGTTCAGAAGATCTAGTCACCAAGAAGGCCTTTGAAATGTCTTTACTATTATAATGATGCATATAACACACAAGTCCCCTTTGATACCTGCACTAGCCTCTTACCTCAATGGTATTATGATGCTAGGGCCTCATGGGGTCTCTCTGATCAATGTTTTATGACAGTGTTACTGGCCTCAACACCCTCATTTATTAGATGAGGGAATAAGCCATTTCAATTCTGCTAAATGCTAATTTGTGGCTGTGTGAGGATCAGTAAGTAAATGACTTAAATAGGTAATATTGGAAGTAGTTTACATACTGACTCGTTCTTGCCAGAGGATGAGGTAATCTGTGAATGTGGGAATGCTGTATTAGTTACTTTTCTGTTGCTGTGACAAATGCCTGACAGAGGCAACTGAGACAACTTAAGGAAAGAGAGACTTATTTTGCCCATGGTTTCAGAGACTTCAGCCCGTGGTGGCTCTGTCGCCTGAGCTGGAACAGAGCATCATGTCAGCAAAGACGCAGGGTAGAGAAACTTCTTCCTTTCCTTGTGGACAGGAAGTAGAGATCAGGGAGCAGAAGAAGGTGTAACTTTCAAAGTCCTGCCCACCCATCTCATGAGTGACCTACTTCCTCTGGTTAGGGTCCTCCTCCACTAGCTCCCTAAACAGTGCCACCATCTGAGAACTAAGCATTGGTGACACAGCCTCTGGAGGGGCATTTGCTATTTAGACTCTGAGAGGTTCAGAGAGGTCCCCAGAAGTTGAATGGAAGGAAACAAAGTATTCTTTAAGCAGCATTTTCCAGAAATAACACCTAAAGCTCATATGTTCCCAACAAAATTTACATGAATCAGATTAAAGTAATCAAACATTTACCTTAATGTGATCAGATCAATATCAAATTAATAATTTGACTGAGGAATCATGTTGAATATTGTTGTGGGGAGCCCTTGGCAAGAATTACAAAGCACAAACTTATTTTTTTTAACTTTCTGTTTCCATGTGGTTCTCCCCATTGGCAAATAATATGTCTGTGTTTTTAAGTGGACTGCACAATAAGTACAAGGGACTGATCAAGGATGAGTTAGACCACCTTTAGCAATCTGGTTTACTTTTTTTGTTTTTGTTTTGGAGACTGAGATGTGCTACCAGAAAATTTAAAAATTCAAATAAATAAAATTACCTCATTAATATCCTCAATGTATAAAGGGTACACATCCGAGAGCCAGAAGCAAGGGGGTGGTGGTACACACCTTTAATCCTAGGACTCAGGATTAAGGCCACCCAGATCTACACAAGACTGATCCAGTCCTAAAGAGAAACAGCTCACACAGAGATGATCTCAGCACCTGGGATCATACGCCTTTAATCCCAGCCCTAGAGGGGTATAAAGGATAGGAGCAGGGTCTTCAGTGGTCAGTATCAGGCAGTCATTCTCCAGCCACACTGAGGATGGGAAGACATTGAAGTTTGTTTCTACTCGCCAGGATATGAGAGTGAATATTTGCTTTTTTCAAGAGTATAGTCTCTTAGTACCTTAGGGCACTCAGAGAGGAATTTCTGAATTCTGCATTTCCAGCCTTTGAACCATTCTAAATGCTATCTTCCCCTTCCCCTGCCTCTCGGGTGAATTTGAAAAGTTCCAGAAGAAAGCAAACTTGAAGCCATAAACAAATATTTTAAGCTAAAATTTAAGATAGAAACGGGCGTTTTTGAATGCGTTTTGAACGTGCTCACATCACCTCGTTACTCAGTGTCAGAGCGTGGCTAGAAGGCAGGGCTCCAAAGAATTGTCACTTAGTGGAGGCTGTAGCAAGGGAGTGTTGCAACTCCTGTGTTTTTCTCTGCCTCGTCCAAAACTTAGAGCTTAATGAACCCCATTTGGATTCAAGCTTCCAAGTAATTGAAAGGTGTTTTAAAGGACAGTTGTTTTCCTTTAGTTTTTTGGAAATTCGATTGCACATAACTTTGTGTACACGGATGTGCGCATATGTGAGTGTGTGCGCCTCTCCATGTGTACAGGTGTCACAAACATACACATGAAGGTTAGAGGACAGATTGTGGGAGTCTGTTCTGCTATGTGGGTTCCAGGGATCTGACTCACGCCATCAGGCTTCGCCAGCTGAGCCTTCTTGCAAACCTTTCTGTTAGCTTTTCGTTATGTCAGGAAGTAAAACTGAACACATGCTCTTTTCCCTTTTGTCAAATCTGTTGTGTGAAGTGCTTTAGAGGCTAGCAAGTTTGCTGCATGGACATTGTGACCTTGGACGTGCTCTGCAATAAATATGAGTTCTCATTTCCAGGACAAAATCTACATTATAGAATAGGAAAATTCTTATAAAAATGCTTCAGTAGGGAGGGGTTATTGACTTTGAATGTTGGAATTTTTATTAGAATACACTGTTTATGAACCACTTGAGGGTGTTTGCTGAGTTTTGTTAAATCTAGAAAGGTTAATATTTATCAAGATGGAATTACAATTAATGCTTCTCTGGGAATTGAAATTTTGGTTTATTTTGCTTTCTCTGAGTGAATCAAAATACCTGTTTTATTTTTGACAACTTTATATCTGATGGGGAGGGGGAGAGTTAAAATTGGATGGCTTGCCTTAGTTCTATTCAGAGCTTCTAGAGCAGTGCTTCTCAACCTGCGGGCTCTGACCCCTTTGTCAACATTCTAGCTCCAAAAATATTTACATGATGATACATAACAGTAACAAAATTCAGTTATGAAGCAGCAACAAAATAACCTCATTGTTGGGGGTCACCACACACGGGGAAATGTATTAAAGGGTGGCAGGCTAGGAAGGCGGAGAATGACTGAGCTAGAGAAAAGGGTTGTCACACGGATGCTAGCCTGAACTGAAGGTTGATGAACTTACCAAGAGCTGTAGCAAAGAATAATAATAAAAACACAGAAGCAGGAGTTATTAAGCTTTGGGGATTATACTCAGGGCCCTGATTTAGCAACCCACGGGCACTCGTCACCTCACTGTGAGCCCTGCTCCACAGGTGACAAACTCAGGGTGAACAACCTGACATTAGTGTCTTGGATGAAATAGTTCTAAAATCTATATTCATGAGCAAAATCCTATGCTAGCTTTCTAGTAAAGAGAAATTATTTTCTAAAAATTACCTTTTGTACATTGAGGATATTAATGAGGTAATCTTATTTATTTGAATTTTTTAATTTTCTGGTAGCACATCTCACTCTGTGTGTCGGCCAGGCTGGCTTGGAACTCACTTTGTACCCCAGGCTGCCTCAAATTTGTGGCAATCTTCCTGCTCAGCCTCCCAAGGTGTCCTTCTTTCTGTATGTAAAGATTAAGAAGAGTAGCTGACGTTGGATCTCTCAATTATATTTTACCATAAACATCAATTTTTAAGTGGTGTGCAATATGGCACGTAAATGAACTATAATCGTGTCTAGTAATCGTGTTTGAAAAAAGAAGCAGGTGTTATAATTTTAATAATATATTTTATTTAATCTAATATATCTAAAATATTATTTCAATGTGTAACCAATATTAACATTATTAATGACATGGTGCTTAAAAATCTTACCAAGTCTTGAAGATTTGGTCCTTTTCACTTTCTTATCATATCAGTTTTGTTTAGCTAGTGGCTAACTCTCATGTGGTTAGTGGCTGCCGTATTGGACTGTTTAACTTCAGAGGATCATTTTAGGAAAGCAAACTTGTTAATTAATCTCAATTAAAAGAATCACAAGAATATGAAAGACCAGTTGCATTTGTTGTAGTAGTCTAAAGGAACAGAACTGATAGAACTAGTATGCACATATTAAGATATAATCTCTATATTAGAAGGAGATTTATTAGAGTGGCTTACAGGATGTGGTCTGTGTAGTCCAACAATGGCTGTCTCATACGGGAAAAGATGAGAGTCATGTAGGTGTTCAGTCCACGAGGCTGGGGTCTCAGCAGTCCTAGCGTGGAGCTGAAGGCCTGGAGGATTCCTGGAGAGCTGCTGCTCTTTATAGCCTGTATTAGAATCTATTCTAACACCAGCAAAGAGGATAGATGAACTTGACAATGAGAATGAGGGCAAGCAGGCAGAAGGCAAAGTTCCCTTCTTCCATGCCCGTTTGTCTCCGCATCCCCGGAAGGCACTTCCCTCACTGAGGGTGGGTCTTCCTGCTTTAGACAATCAAATCAAGAGAATCCTTTACAGGAATTTTCCTGCTGCTTCTGTTTTGGTTGATTCCAGATACAGTCAACTTGACAACCAACATTAGCCATCACAATGGTCATAGAAACACATCATGCAATTTTAAAGATGTGTTTTATGCATGTGTATGCATATGTGTTAGGAATGCTGTGTGTGTGTGTGTGTGTGTGTGTGTGTGCTGTGCGTGCGCCTGTGGAGGCCAGAAGAGTGTTAGATGGTTGTGAGCCACCAGCTGTGGGTGGCGGGAGCTGAACTCAGGTCCTTAGGAAGAGTAGCAAATGCTCTCAATGGCTTTTCTGTCTCTCCAGCCCTACATAATGCTTTTAGCATCCTATTACAGTCCCTTCATTTTCAGGTTAGATAGCTAGATTAAAGCTACCCCTTTAATATGTGTGATCCAGGCACAGCAGGAATGATAATTTCCTCACAACTTTTTAATTCTGCCAAAAAGATGGCATGGAAGCAGAGCTTAGGACAAAGCGAAGTCTCCCAGA